CTCCCTACCCCCGGGGTCATGATTTGAACAAACTTGAATTTACACTACCTGAGGATGCTTCCCTATAAGTTTCATCTTTCCTGGCACAGTGGTTCTTGAGAAGAAGATTTTTAAAGAATTTTCCTAGATATTTCTATGTAAAACTTTGATCGGCCATTGTGGCCCCGCCCTACCCCCGGGGGTCATGATTTGAACAAACCTGAATTCACAATACCTGAGGATGCTTCCATATAAGTTTCATCTTTCCTGGCACAGTGGTTCTTGAGAAGAAGATTTTTAAAACATACCATCAAATTTTCACTACCGGTATTTCTCAATTATCTCCCCTTCAATAGGTGGCGTGGCCCTTCATTTGAACAAACCTGAATTCCCTTCACCTAAGGATACTTTGTGCCAAGGTGGGTTGAAATTGGCCCAGTGGTTCTTAAGAAGAAGTCGAAAATGTGAAAAGTTAACGACAACAACGACGACGACAACAACGACGACAGACAACGGACAAATTTTGATCAGAAAAGCTCACTTGAGCCTTCGGCTCAGGTGAGCTACTAAAAAATAGAAGAAGGGCAAACACAGACCTCCACATCTGAGGTGGGATCAGGTACAATGGAGGAGTGAACATCCCCTGAAGACAAGTCACTCCCACCGTGTGTTCCTTGTCATGATCGGGAAATTACGGGAAAATCTGTAGTCAATTCAGTGTATAATAATGGACTAACAATAAGTATGAAAAAACGTCACTCAGCGTTTACTCAATGATAAATTGTATTTGTTGTCCATAGAACTTACGAAATGATGACTTTAAACGAGACGGCTGATATTCTTGTGCCATCAACTTGTTCCTCAATAATTTACGTCGTTTCAGATATTGCATATACGCAGAGCATGCTCTTGTGTATCGAATCAACTGAGATATATTAATTCCGTATGCGTTTTTTTTTCAAACTCAAACTTAAATGTACATTGAATGGTTGAAAGCTAGGAGGAATTTTGCATATAATATTTAAACTGGACAGTGATACCTCTCATATATTGAAATATATGTCTACCTTTTCTTTATTAAAAAATAGGCACATATACATATATCATGTAAATTATGTAGTTAATATCATGCATCGTGTACCCGGTACTTTGCTTCGATGTTTATAATTCAGTTAAGAGATAAATGTTCAAGTATTTGTTATTCGCTGATAAAGCGCAAGTTCAGTGTCCACAAGATATTAACATCACATGTGCATGACTGAAGTCTACAGAAAAAGACATGTTTTCAACACATATTTTTGACTTTCTACTACTTCTGACTATTCTACAAACATCATCAAGTCTTTTGCATGGCAATCTCCAAAACATTGTCAATTCTGTGGCAGCGACAACTCAAACAGTCGGGAATCAAGGAAATAGCATCCTCGGGTCTTTGGTATTAGAACTAGATAAACGTGTCAATGATCTTATTCTAAGGGTGCATAATCTGGAAATTGAACGTCAGTATTATGCTAACAAAAGCGCCCAGCTAGAACAGCATATAACCATTATCAAAATTTAAAAATAGCGTCATTGCAAAATGATATTGTTACTTTGGAAAGTAGGATTCAATCACTGGAATCGGGCAAGGAGTTATTGACACATAATATGACTGCTTGGGAAGAGGTTGTGACGACGGTGAAAGGAATTATTACAAACCATTTACAAGATTTGAATGGCCTGAAAGTAGAACACGATACGTTTCCTTGGCGTTGATGGACGTACAAACAGAATCAAAAGAATTGAATACCACTCTTTTGAGATTAATCAATGAAAATAAAAGAAGGATAGGTAAGTCTATAAATTTATTTGTTAACAATATGTTAAAAAAATTAAAAGAGCAAGAATTTGAAATCAAAATGAAATCTAAAAATCAATTTCTATACTTTTTTGTAATGAAATGAATGTTAAATTGTATATTTTATTGAGCTTTTAGCATGTCATGATGATATGCAATCCGATAAACTCATTGTTCGATCCTGCATCATGTGGCGCCATCGCAACGCCATCGTGCTATCGCTGTCACGTAATGGTGCGATAGCACGATGATGTTGCGATGGCGCCACAATGCCAGGATCTAACAATGATGCGATAGCACGATGGATCGATAATGAACTTTGCAACGTGCCATCGCTATTACACTATCTGACATGCTTCATCGTGCTATTGCATCATTGTCAAAACATTGTTGCGTCATGGTATCATTGTGCTTCATTAATTACATCATTGCTTTCCTGTCAAAGCATTATCGCACTTACCTCGGTGGTGCAATATGATGCGATAAATGAACTGCATGTTAGCCTTTTCCGGATTCCATACGTTTTGGGCCACGAAACTTATTTATAAATTCAATCAATTACTAGTACCAACCTGCATCCTTGTCTTCGTCATGTCATTCGTTATTACCCATTTTGCTTCATTTACAAATAAATTTTTGTCATCGATCAAAAACGCAAACGTAATTATAGAGATATACATTTTAATTGCTGTTATAGATATGTTAACTTCAATATTTTAAAGAATATTTAGGAAAAATAACGAGCTAAAAGTCTTGTATCAAACATCCTTTTTTTAATTTCAGGAACCATTACACAAATTAAACCGGGATTTACACAAATAAAACCTGGATTCACAGCATATCTTGGTGCTGATAAACCCTTACCGATTGGTAGAACAATAGTGTTTGCGCATGCCTATAGCAATGTGGGATCTTTGTATAATTCACAGACCGGTGTCTTCACTGCTGACCGTGACGGACTATACGAATTTTACTCTGGTGTAGAATGTCATAGAGAAGGTCAGATATACTCCAATCTTATAAAGGACGGGTCTATTACTGCCCGAGTACGGCCTCAGGCAGACAGTTTGGTTCTTGGGTCCGACAAAACGCATGTTGCCTTCGAACTCAGTCAATAAATGTATAATGTTAAATGTGTATGAATCAAACAATTTACTTGTTGTTTGTCATAGATAAAAGAAAGAACTTGTTGAAACATTAGGTCTTATACATAGAATTGTAAAAATCATCTATTAAAAATGAAAAACATTTTTTTAGGTGATTCAAAGATTGCATGACATGTTCATACAAGAAGCGCAAAGTTATTTTAAGGTTCTCCCAAATATATTTTGTATAAAGTGACTGTTTAAATTTACAAATCAATGAATTACTCACAGTAATAATTAACAAAATCAATACCACAAAAACATGTACAATCGTCTGTCTTCTCACCAACTAGAGATAGAACAAGATGTATTTTGATATTCCTAGAATAGAAAGAGTTTGCAAATTTTGTTCAATGTCACAGGTCTAAGAGTATCATTTTATTCTGGTTTGTTCATTTTTTTCGATGATAAAAGAAAGTATGTTAAAAACACTCTATCTTTAAATTTGTTCAATTGTTGTAGACAAAAAATATAACAAAGCAATGTAAAAAGGAAAATATCTTTATAAAATTAATGTACAAGATTGGGAGCAGGTTTTAATTGATATTGATATTACTAATTTATCCTAACTACTATTATTACCATATTTATATTATGGTGCTTTGTCGTCTTTATAAACGTTCTAGAATGAACAGTTTGTAAGATTCTTTTTTTTATAATCCTGCTTTACTTAATGTACAAATAATATTGAAATACTTATACATATATTGTACAAACCGATTTATGTATATATACGTTAAACCTATGAAGTGCATAATGGTTCTTAGTAAAAAAAAACCCAATACATTACAATCTAAAAAAAACGCTATGCAGTCCCATTATTTAAATATTTTACATCATATGTTATTGATCATGAAATGCGATAAGATGTTCTTAAAGGTACTTGGACAAAGATTAGTGGTCAATATTTTCTCTATAATATTACAACTTACATATTTAAATAGCATTTCACACAACAACTCATAAAAAGTCTTATTTCATTTAAAAGTTATTAATACTTCAAATTTTTTGGTGGGTTTGATTGATACATCCTGGCACTTTCAGAAATTTTAACCTTATTCTAAATCCTTAGGATAAGTTGTAATCTTGTTGTGTATTCATAAGAAATATTAAAACTTTTATCCAGAAAAATAATTTTATCAAGAGTAAAAATGTTAGAAAGCAAAACCCTTTCACAAGTATCGTCATTCCAAATTAAGAGATGCGTAAAAGTTAAGCAAATCGAGCACACTCGTGTTTTGTACATAGTGTTTGTGAACAGGGCACGGGTTCTGTTTTTGTTGATGTCTACAATTCACCGGGTGCGTTCAATCGTCACAGTTTGCCTACCACAACTGCATGGACTGACAATATATTGTGTGTTTGTTTTGCTTTCGAACATATCTACTCTGAATTTTCTGGATTATAGTATAACACCGAACTAAGAGATGCGTAAAGAGTTAAGCAAATCGAGCACATTGGTGTTATGTACACAGTTTTTGTAAACAGGGCTCGAGTTCTGTTATTGTTTATATTTAGAATTTACCGGGTGCGTTCAATCGTCACAGTCTGCTTACCACAGCTGCACGGACTGACAATATATTGTGTGTTTGTTTTGCTTTCGAACGTGTCTACTCAAAATTTTCTGGATTATAGTATTAATATTTTTCGTTTATACACAACGAGATTGCCACTTTTCTTAAGGATTAAGAATAGAATAAATTTGTTAATCAGCAAGGATTTGTCAATCAAACCCGCCAAAACATTTGAAATTTTAATATCTGTTATATGAAATAAGATTGTTCATTATTTTTGTGTGAAATGCTATTAAGATATGTATGTCGTAATATTCTAGAGAAAATAATAACTTCAAATCTGTGTCTAAGTACCTTTAAGCAATAAATTAAAAAAAAAATAATTTTGATAATTTTCTTGTTTATATACATTAAAATGTTCATGTAAACTTGATAATAACACATTGATATTACATCAAGCAACAAGAACTGTTTGTATGACATCATGATAAAATATATATATATATTTTTTTATTTTTTCCACAATTGTACATTTACAAGTGTATGGTTCTTTTTAGTAAACAATACAAAACAAATGCACAACATTTTATCGCCAAATGCATTCCTTGTCTTCTTTAGAAATGCAGGTGTATTTATGACAATTTTCACACACGACTTCAAGATTGTCTATATTATATTTTACATCTGACATTTTCTTACGGAAATTTGAAAATTTCGTTTCAAGAAATTCACAATGTTTTTCAAATAATTCAGCTCTGCCTTCTGGTGGAATCAATTTGAAAGTTGGTTCTTTCTTGTAAGTATCAATTTTAACAGACTTAAGATTTTCCAGCATTCTGTTGTAGAGTTCTTCAAAATTGTATACTGCAGCCAGATAGAAGCATTTTAATTTGAAGAGAATGTCTTTATTTTGGGACTCAACCGCCACTAATAGCCAGTCATGAAAACTCTTCATCAAGGCGTCCATACCGTACTCTCTTGCCAATGGCAGAATTCTTTCTATTACAGAAACTAAATAGAATATTAAGCAGATTAGTAAATGCATCATTTATGGATAATTGTATTGTTTTAAAGACAACGATTACACATTAAGTTACATATCACATCAAACTAATACTCTTTTATTAATTTTCATATGCTATGTACACGAATATTGATTTATTGTTTAGATATATGCAGCTCATTTTAGCAATAGCATCAGCATATAAGTAATTCTTGAATTAAAATGAAATTAAATTCATAGAGGTCAATATGTCAAATAAACAATAAAAATAAGTGAAAGTGACATACTAGTAGTCTATTAAAGGTACATGTAGAAAGTAAACAAAAACCTGAGAGTACAATATGCAGCCATACACCTTCATCGTCTGCATACTGAGTTTATATTGCTCAGTTGATTCAATATACAAGAGCATGTTCTACCTATGTACAATTTTTAAAACGAGGTAAATTATTGACAAACAACTTGATGAAACAGTGATATCAGCATTCTCGTTAAAAGTCATAATTTCCTAAGTTCTATGGTCGATACAATTACCTTGTCATCAAACACAAATTATCAAATGCTGACTAACGTTTTTCATACCATTGTTAGTCCGTTATTTACACACTGAACCGAAGACGGATTTCTACGTTATTTCACACGGCGCTTGTGATTGGTCGGTAGGAGATGCTCACTCCTCCATGGTACCTGATCCAACTCTGATGTTTTGGGGGTCCGTGTTTGCTATTCTCCTATTTTGTATTGTTTAATGGACTTTTCAGCTCAGCTTGAATGCTTTTCGTTATCTCCATATACTAGTATCCATATACTAGTATTCCATGTACACAATATTTTGTCTGTATGAATACAGTATAGTCATAACATTCAAAAGATTATTCAAGTACACAAATTCAGCTCACTTTGAACTGGAACATTTTGCTCTTGTGTGCCGACTTTTCCAAATTTTGGTGTCATCATATTTGTATAACTTATGCCAGGATCATTATTAAATAGTTTTGTAAGATTTGAAAAAAATGGCAGCGCATTGAAAACACTATAGTCCGACTGTCCCTCACTCTAGAAGCTAAAATTGGATCAAGGAGATCTCTTAAATTTATGCAGGAATGAGCTCTATCCAGGGTCCATATTTTCGGGACCTTTAATTGAAAACTTTAAAATCTGATGTGTAGACTGCTCTAATTTTGATAATGCACAACAAGGGCATGCTTTAGGCCTATGTTCACATGTAAAAAGAATGAACTGTATGACCCCGATGACCTAGAATTATTGAACAATTAAAGGTGATGAAGAAAAATCACAGTTGATTAATACGCCATAATGACATAATTTCTAGAAAATGACAAGTAACGCTTTTTTCATATACAAACCGTCCAGTTCCAAATGTTCTCCTGGATAAAAACTTCGAAGAAAGCGAACAAAATCTTCATATTTTTTCTTCGGGAATGTTATCGTACTTTCATTCTTCTCCTTGAAGTCGGAAGTAAACATGGCCCGGAAAACCGGAGAGGATCGCACGAGAATTACTTTTGTCAAGTGAATTTCTTTTTCCTCAACCAGAAAAATTACATCTGTGACACCAGGGTCCTCCACAAAATACTGCGGTTCGGGATACGTTTGCGTCTGTTGTTTGGGTAAAGGTACCTCCGCAGACATTTTAACAGTGCTTTATGCTTGGTTGACTGTACACGCTCTATGAAGAAATTTAAATCATTTTTTATTTTACTGTTGGATTCTCAAAATACCGATCGATAATTTAAATTGCCGAAACCATTTTTTTTCCATTTACCCGTTTCTATTCTATCTACTTCTTAGTTTTAAAGAATTTATTTTCGATGTCTGTACATGTGTCATTATTTGCATATCTTGCAAGTTTTTATAGTATGTAATATGAAAATCTGACTAATAACTTGTTATGAACATACTCATATTTTATACAAGAATTAAAAAAAAACAACTTAAGTTGCGTCACATTAAAAAGTCCTTCCTTTTTAAAGACAGACATATTATATTGCTTATCAAAATTTTGCAACATGGAGAATATTTTATTATCACTGGTAGCCATGTAGTATCGTGAGAGGGGGGAGGGGGGGTCCTGAACACTGTAAATATACTTTTTCCTTGATTCATAATTTCGCAGAATCACCTTTTTTGGTTTTTAATCCGCGAGTATCAGAAGTCTCTAACGAGACTATAAACACAACTGATATATACTTATAATAAAGAAATATTATCAGTATAGTTGACTTCTGCAATAAATTTCATTTCAATCTGACGGAAACTTTAAAAGAAGTAATGGCTTGAACGAACATGAATTTCTCTTATACGAAAACATAGCAACAACGATTGTTTATTGATTTTTTTCCTTCCCATTTTTATTTTTTTTAAGTATATTAACTCCTACTAAAACTTGATGGAGGAGGAATAACCTATATACTATTATTTGTAATTATACCAACACCGTTTGTCTTGATCAAAAACTGATATAGATAATTATGCATCATGATGTAGTCCATTTGTTTGCAAAATCTAATTCAAACCGAAAAAACTATACGAAAAGTAGGATTTTCACCGACATAATATTTTTAGAAACCGTGATTTCATTGCTATTCAAGAATCTGATATAAAGAGTGGTGTATCTAAGTTAACCTTTGAAGCTTTTGGAGAACGAGACTTACAAAAATTGCAATCGGTTAAAATTCCTAATAGTACTTATTACGCTTCGTTATTAGCAGACCTAATTTTGCATTCATTTGAAGCAGAATTTGTTCAAAAACTTTCATAAGAGAGAAATTTCTTGCTGTTCTTCAATTATCGACATTTCATCAATTTAAAATACATTGTATTCACTTTCATCGATATATCCATTGAACTCGAAATAAAAGGAGCACACACTGCTTGAAAAAACACCTTTACAAAACTTTACTTGCGAAGTAAATTTCATTAAAGGTGCTCCAAAAAGCAAGGTCATCTTTGTATTAACTTTACAAAAAGTAAAGGTGAAAAGGTAACCTTTACTTACACGAAAAGATAATTAAATATAACCTTTCACCTTTAATGCCATATTAAAGTTCATTAAATATACATATTTTATAAAAGTCTTATTTTAATGCTGACTATTGTTTAATACACTTATTCTTTGGATTTTCACAGTTAGTTTAAAGAATCTAATCTAGTCAATACCCAGAATTTTAAGACAAATGTCAAATATTTTTTTAATTATCTTGTATCCATTTCCAGTTGAAATTAGTATTAGAAATGGTCATCTACAGGATCAAACACTCGACTCATCATTATTTGACAGACTACACCTCAAATAATACAACACCTATGCTGTAAGCCAGGTTAGCTTAGTTGGAGCAGCTGGCGTTTATTTTGATACATGTAACAATACATAAATATTTAACACACATTACATTGAATGTGAAACAATAAAGCACTGCAATGCATTTGTAAAATATTTTACATGTAATAAATTGTACCCCTATCACTGACATTAAAAACCGTCCAGGCAAAAACCATAGATGGTTAACTATGGAAAACCTGTGTCCGTCGCTATGTAAATAATGTCTCAAAGGAGAATGCCGGACGTGCATTCGGTGCAATAGTTAAAAATGCACGAACATCCTATGATATTTGCATGTAAGAAAAAATCCAAATTAGAATACATATCAACAGTTTTGTTATTTCCATTACCAGTATATTTATACAAATATGATATATATAAAGCAAAAAAAAAATGTGTGTATATTGAAGAGCACTGGATTAGAATGATATGAACATATTACTGAATACTCATTTCTCATTGGCTTTCCTTTGGCCACGCCCACATATACAACCAAAACCATTAATATACATTCCTCGCATACAATGTGTTCCCGCTATACTGCGAAACACAGGAAAAAATATTATCTGCACCGGGATTGCCTGAATTGGATGACATAGATCTTTAATATGTACATTGATATTAATGATAGAGTAATTAATAATATAACAATGGGAAAAATTGGCATATTGATAATTTTCATTTTCCAAACAAAAATGATCTAAAATATTCTGTATTTTTGCTTCTCATAATATGATGAGTCAGATATACAGCACAAACAATATCCAGTTATAACCTTGAATATAAACATTATATTGAGCTATTTCTAACTTTTGTTTTCCTTTAAACATTCAGATACATGTGAGAAAAAAAAAAAAGAAATACAGATGACAAGTATAAAATTCACATTTCTGCTTATGAAATGGAGGTCCCATTTCACTTTAAAATATAATAACAGTACATCATTTATTCTTTATGGTGCATGAACATATATAAAATAAACTTTGCAGTTTAAATTTAATTAAAAATGTGGAAAAAATTAAATAAAAGTCTATTTGATTTGCGCTTATATACAGGCTAATAACATCTTCAACTTGTAATGCAAAATGATGCATTTTACATATTCACAAATACAAAATATGGTGAAAAATCTATTAGAATAGATGCGGGGATGCAGTTTGCTAAATGCATGAGATCATGTACGAGTCCAGCTTCACCCCGTGAGCCTGTCTGTACTTGATTTAGTTTAGATTATGTTTTTATGTCTGTGGTAAATGTTAGTGTGTTTGCATATGTGTCCAGCTTCACACATTTTCATGTATGTGCTCGACTTCACACGCCTTGGAAAATATGTAATAGGTTGTGGTAGATGCATGCGTGTTTGCATATGTGTCCAGCTTCACACATTTTCATGTATGTGCTCGACTTCACACGCCTTGGAAAATATGTAATAGGTTGTGGCAGATGCATGTGTATTTGTGTATGTGTCCAGCTTCACACATTTTCATGTATGTGCTCGACTTCACACACCTTGGAAAATATGTAATAGGTTATGGTAGATGCATGTTTGCATATGTATCCAGCTATATGCATTTTCATGTGTGTGCTCGATTTACACGTCATAAATGTAAAATATGTAACCATGGTGGTGTAAAACGTTTACAAGTGTATGATGCACAAAGAGAAAAAAAAGTTTTGTGTTTTGTTCTGCAAATCTGCATATGAATAAACTACAATTATGTCCTGTTGAGAAACTGACAATCATAATAAGTAACATATTCATTTTACATAACTGTACTGAAAATTACACATCCAGTTTAAATTACTGTACTGAAAATTGAATTTGTGCAAAAACTCTCTGGCTGAATAACATTCAAAACCATGAATGCTTGCATGTTCATCTATGGATCTCCAAGATATTTCCTAGTTAGTTTGTAGCGCCACACCAGGCGGTCTTACAACACATTTCATAATGCCAGTTTGCATGAATAAATCAATTTATCCTTGTTCCTCATAACTTGAAAATAGATGCCGAAATTCTAGTCTACAGTTTATTTACACAGCACATCACAAATAGAAACATTCAGGAAAAATAATTCACTAAAAATAAAATCCAAGTAATATAATCACATGTACATATAAATCCAAGAAATATTAGGTAATATTCCAATCAAGTAAGAAATTTTATCTCTAACAGTTCTATCTACTAAGTCTTCTATATTTCCATCTTCCTATCTTATTCTAAAATTCTGTTGCACTATATATATACTCAAGATCCGCTCCTGACCATCAGGAGCACATTATAAGATCCTTAAGATCAGGAATCAATAGACAGGTCATTACGATCAGCAGGGGGTTATATAAGAGGGGGCGATTAATATACAGATAAGATGATAATGTGTGAACAAATAAGTATTGAAGAGTTATATTACAGTAAAGATATTCTAAATCGCTACAATTTTACAAATTCTTGATCATATCATTGATAACAGTACGTTTCTTGATCATGACATCTGTATTGGATTCCCCTCTCTGACATCTTTTCTTGTTCACCAATTAGTTCAACAGTCATCTGGGTACTAAGGTGTTGTACAAGTCCTAATAAAAATCATTTTCAAAATTATAAAGAAAAACTACAATTTTATTAAAATAGGTTTTCATTACTTCTATTGAAATTAAAGCACAAGATTTTGAAGACATACTTAAGTAACTTAAAACATGTATAACTAAACATAATGGAAATTTAGACAAAGCAACTCAATGTCAAACATATGATAGTGATACATCTGTAATATCCATGAAACTTACTGAGATACTTAAAATGTTTGTGGTGTGCTTTCACTAAGGTTAGTATTTATTTATATAAACATCTCTTGATTAAATGTTGAAGTCCAATCCTCACCTGACTTGCACATTCATATGGATTGGGTCTATGTTGATAATCTCTTTCAACAATCTTCATCACATCATCTGAAAGTCATCCATCTTCAAAATTCAAGTGTATAAAGACTCCCTGTACAAATGCATGGAAAATAAGATTTTGAATAAAAAATGAATTATCTCTTCACCATACTTGGCCTCTTTAAAAAATGTGAGGAAATAATTTAAATACTTTTCTTTATATAAAATCATGTAGTGAGTATCCAACAATGTTGAAAAAAAGTTATCTCTAGAATTTTACATTTACATTGAATGAAAAATGCATTGTTCCCTCTACTTAAAAAAACTCAAAAGATATTACCTAAAATGGAAATAAGGTACAACTGTGACTGGTGTCTCAGGCACAACCAATAAACACAAGACCTTTCCATCCTTAGCAGCATGCATTAGCTCCACATTCCCTGCTTCTACAAAAAATATACAATGAAAATTAAAAAAAAAAAAGAGAGCGAAGCGTGTTGCATGTACTTGGGGGAACAGAGGAAGGAATTTTGAAGTCAGATTAATTATATTTCTGCCAGTGTTGGGACGGATAAATTTCCATAATAAAATGAAACGAAGTATTCGCAATAAATAAGACACATGTATTACCTTGCAGTCATCGGCCCACATATTGGGTGCGTTCACAGTTCTGCCATTGGTAGACAAAAGTTACCGTTGGTAAAATTAATTACCATTGGCATGCCACTGGTACCAATGTTTTTTGCCAATGGTAGATTTTTCTGCAGACAGTCTAGAGTGTGGTTAGTGTTGGTAAATGACGTCACAGCTAGTTATCGACATGGCAACAAGCTAGAAAGACTGGGATCCTGGATTTACAATGATATAAACGATTTTTCCTCTAATCCTTTTTAACAAATCATGTCAAAATCACATAAAAATCATATCAAACACTTATATTTATGATTTCGAAGTATGATTTAGACATGATCCATTAAATGGATTATATAAAACTCAAAGATATGGCAACTAAAGAAGTGTGATCCTAATGTGGTTTGTTTGTCGAATATGAGTCTGCTATGATTTTCTTGCGATTCTGGCATGTGCCAATAACTTAGAAGACAAAGAAATCTATAATTCAGTATTGCCAACGTCTCCATTGGACTCCCATTGGTAACATTGGTAAAATTGTTACATTTGTATGCCAATACCCGTTCAGGGTTTATTGGTACAGTTGGTACCATTGTCAAATTATTGTACCAATGGTATATTGAAAGTTGGTACTAATGGTAGAACTGTGAACGCACCCAATGTATACAAATGACAACATCCCATTCCCTTTCTTTGTTGTTTACTTGGCGGAATTTTCTTTGCCGTCTAGACTGGTTCCCTGCTCTGGTTCCCATACATTGCCGTTAATTAATAAGTCCTACGTTTATTGGTTTTGTTTACAAGCTTCAACATCAATAAAATCTCCAGCACATTTACAGCCTGTATTGTAAACTACACTGAAAACATACTTTACACACAATTTTCAGCTCAGTATTATATTATCCTCTTCATTCAAGTAATATGTAAACTCTTCTCGAATGTAAAACGAACGACCTACTCTGAACAGTAACCCAAATATGGCACTGTGTATTCAGTTGAATAGCCAATCATTTCAAATCAAGTTGAGCGGGTTTGCATCGTAATTTTGACGAAGTTTGAAACCAGTGGTAATTTTTTGACACAGCATCTAGATTTAAGAAGATTCTTGCCTGGACAACTGCTCGAACTCCCGGGATGGCATGCTCTAAAGGTTTGTTTACGATTTCCAGCCGTTTTCACTTTCACTTTCAGATCAGTACATTGTGCATGTTGTGAAAGAATGAAACTAATCAAAGTCACGCAAAACGACGCTTTGTATGTTATTTTCTGCCAGGATATTAGATATTTTTGATAATTTGGGGATTAAATGTTTATGTGCGTCACTTTATTCTGTAAAGGTGTATGAATCATAGGGGCTTGTCTTCCGGATTGATAAATGTAAAATAATTTTTTTTTAAATTGTATCTAAATTAAATACAGTCTAAAAGTTGATTTAATAAAGATTCTGATCAGGCAAGAAAAATAATGTTTAAAAAAAAGTACTACACCTATATACATAAACTCTCAACTTTGAGATTTTATTTATTTTTATTTATATCATTTTGTATTTTAAACTGTGTCCATTTTCTTAAAACACAGGTATAGTGAATTCAGTATGCAGATTGTTGAAGGGAAAACATCAAGACGGGGCGAGGAAGACAACAAAACATGATTACCCAGATTGAGGATCCCAGTGTTCTTTGGTACAAGCACATTTTAATTATAAATTTCATGAAATCTGTTACTTGAACAAACATTTACATTATTTAGTGCTTGACTTGCTCGGGAGTCAATATCGTCATATATTTGTAAAAAAAAAATGTTCAATTTCCTTTGTATAGTCTCAAGCTACTCAGCCTACCATGAGAAAATTAAAAGATCTGTCATGAAGAAGAGGCGGGTTTTCAACTTACATATTATAAATGGCAAGTATTGTTTAGAACTAATTTTATATTATTCTTGATAAAAAATAACATAAGGGTGTTTGTCAATTCATAGCTATTATTTGTGATTGCATTGTGTATTAATTTTCAAAATCAATTCATTCTTTGGTGACCAAGTGCAGCGGTTTTCTTCAAACTCATAATTTTTTTATAAAAATATTCACTATATTTGTCCATATGTATAAAATGTTAATCATGGTATGAATTCTATTTCAGCATGATTGTCATCTTCAATTTGAGGGACTCTCACCTAAAGTCCTTTTACTATTCCATATAAGGAAAAAGTTCATGAGCTGAAACATACGATTGGGGAAAAAGGTACATATATCCTAAACCATAACTTGAGTATCATTCTGTATACATGTACAGCTAAACTAAATATGTAGCACTATATTGTTCTCTTTGTAAACTGACAACTGAGTAGTCCGGAAACCTATGATTTCTCAATATTTCAGGGATTTATTCTTTGTTTTTGTATAGTACCCTTAAAAAATACATATTTCTCAAATTGTAATTTATAGGCTTTTTGTGATAAGGGATACATGACCTAACCCATTGATTCTTCATATAATATGTCAATAACAAGAGTTACACTCATCTTATTAAATTGATTTATTATACCTCTATTGATAATACTCGAATTTGATTGGCTGGTATGAAAACTTTAAAACACAACAATGACTCCAAATGGTACTGTTTAAAGCAACTGACCTAGGAATCATCGCACGTGGGATATAATGACCCGGTCATTATTTTTAATGACCGCTAAAAATGACCGCTTAAACAAAAATTCGTTTTTGAGTGAAGTTAATGCATAAAATAATAATTATTCGAAAAAAACAACAACATGTTTTTAAAATTGTGCATGGTCTGTTTTGCATTACCATACAGAATACGGTAAAATTTTATCGTAACAATATATATATCGTTTCAACAGTTCAATAGGCCTATATCGTTACAAAATCAGTTCAATAGAATGTAGAGGCGGCTTTTTAAAGAGTTGAATTCTGTGTTACATTTTGATTGTGAAGAGAAAAAGTAATCGTTAGTTATAACATTGTATTCGCTATCACGCAGATATTGTTTTAATCATTAAATCATGATGCAAAAACTTACACGACTTGCAGACTTCAATGTAAACAACTTCACTCTCCGGTCTGTAGCGAATCCCGATCCCGATCAAAGGAAGAATTGATAACGGTTAGAGATTCATACTTTTCAATATATTTCGGTATAATAAAACAATTAATTACCCCTTGTGAGTTCAACATGGTGAAAAAAGAACCCTCGACCTGGCCCACTCGGTGACCTGCCCTGACCTCGGCCGCTATGCGGCCTCGGTCAGGTCAGGTCACCTCGTGGGCCAGGTTCTCGGGTCCTTATTTCACCATGTTGACCACACAAGGGGTAATTAATTGTATAATAAAATTTATTTTTTTTTTGCTTTTTGAGGTTAAAGGTCATGTATGAACTTTTTATTAGGTCACCTGAGTAAACTCAGGTGACCTATTGCTATCCGTTTTCGTCCGTCGTCGTGCGTCGTCTGTCGTCCGTCGTCCATCGTGTGTTAACATTTGAACATTTTCAGCTTCTTCTCTGCAGCCACTGAACCAATTTCAACCAAATTTGGCACAAAGCATCTATGGGTGAAGAGGAACAAAAATTGAGAATTTCATGGTCCCTGCTCCCCTGGGGCCTGGGGGGTGGGGCCAAAACCACCAAAATTAATGCAATCTTTAAAAATCTTCTTCTTTACTCCTGGACATCAAGCAGTCAAACTGTTTGCATGATTGTAATCAGCAATGAGTCCTCTACCAAAATTGTGAAATTCATGGCCCTGGGGTCAGGGGTTCTTGTGCTAGGGCGGGGCTAAATAAGTAGGTAGCGAAAATGCATTATTTCTTTGAAAATCTTCTTCTCTGCCCCTGGGTATTAAATAAACCAACTAAGTAGATAGTTATGATGAGCAAGAGTGCCTCTACCAAAATTGTGAATTTTATGGCCCCAGGGTCAGGGGTTCTGGTGTGAGGGTGGGGCTCTATTGATTATATATAGTGAAAATACATGATTTCTTTGAAAATCTTTCTCTGCTCCTGGGTAGTAAATAAACTAACTAAGTACATAATAATGATGAGCAAGAGTGCCTCTACCAAAGTTGTGAATTTTATGGCCCCAGGGTCAGGGGTTCTTGTTTTAGGGTGGGGGGGGGGGGGGGCTCTAATGATTGTATAGTGAAATGCATGAATTCTTTGAACATCTTATCCTTTGCTCCTGGTTAATATACTAATGATCTAATTACATATTTAAGGCCAGGATTTATTTTATTTTCAGTTTTACAAACCCTCCGCTCAAGGTTTTGAATTTTCAGAAAAAATAAAACAATTTTTTTCTTTCCGATGTCAAATTTGAGTCGGGATCGAGATTTCAAATTTACGAACTCGCACTTCCGGTTTTAAGATGAAACGGCGGGTAAATAAAGCTAGATGGTCTGAGAAGATAGCTTCGTTTAGTGTAAAATTCTTCGATATGAGTGCCATTTAAAACGTTTTACCCATTCAAAGGACAAATAAAATGCTGACGACTTTGTTGTACAATGACATGCTGGTGAGATAATTATGTATTCGTTTCAAAAGTATCTGTCTGTAAATTATTTTCCTCCCCCAGGTTTTAAACTGCCTGTGGTAGCTATTGCATATTGCAAGCGACATTGTTTAGGACTCTGTTATAGCTTACAGTCTAAGCATCATTCTTCAGAAAAGGGTTGCTTATGCATCAGATGTAATGAATAAAACTATGGGAGAAGTTAAGTCCATTTGAGGAAGAAATAAACAAAAATAACCTGAAGAAATAAAAAAAAAATTCAACTATTAAAAGGCAAGAATATACAAATATATTACAGGCATGTAGTATCATTTGTATCAGCCAGAAAAATTATTTTACACTTAATTGAAAAAATGTTCACCCTACTCCCCAATTCTCCCTGTCTGTTTTATGATAGGAATTATAATTTTAGGCATCAAGTAAATTTTAGAACAATGTCTACACATTTACCTAACACATATTTAAAAAAAATTTATTATCATGTTCATAACTAAACCTGAACATAAAAAAAAATGCTGGCCTTATAATGAAGAAAGGGGCCTCTTTCAAAATAGATAATTTCAGGGCCGCTGGGTCAGGGGTACCAGGGGGGTACTTTGACTAAAAATAAATTAATGCTTTGAAATCTGTCCTTTGATAAGCAATGGTGCCTCCTTCAAAATTTGTGAATTTTATGGCTTTTGGATTAAAACACGAACCAAATACAATCGCTGGAAAGTTGTTACATGATACTCAGGTGACCTATAAGGCCCGTGGGCCTCTTGTTTATTAATTAGGTTGTACCTTGTTTTTATTTTTATTAATCATGGTATTGTGAATTCTGATAACACAGACGCCATTGAAAATATTCATACTTATGCATGGCACTGAAAAAATACTTTTTTTTTCTTTTAGAAAAAGCATTAGGAAAATGCCTGCATGGGGAGAAAAGTTTTGAACTCTGAAAAGGGAGGTGTGACAAAAACATTTTGACAGTTGTTGATTTCCACTAAAACCAATATCCACAAGAAAGAGGACATAGTTTTATTAGCTCACCTGAGCCGAAGGCTCAAGTGAGCTTTTCTGATCACATTTTGTTCGTCGTCCGTCCGTCCGTCCATCTGTCTGTCCGTCTGTCCGTCTGTAAAACTTTTCATATTTTCGACTTCTTCTCAAGAACCACTGGGCCAATTTTGACCAAACTTAGTACAAAGCATTTTTGGATAAAGGGAAATTTAAATTGTTAAAATTAAGGGCCAAGTCCCTTCACAAGGGGAGATAATCAAGAAAAAACAAAAATAGGATGGGGTCATTAAAAAATCTTCTTCTCAAGAACCACAAGGCCAGTAAGGCTGAAACTTATATGGAGGCACCCTGGGGTAGTGTAGATTCTAAATTGTTCAAATCATGACCCCCGGGGGTAGGGCGGGGCCACAATGGGGAATCAAAGTTTTACATAGAAATATATAGGAAAAATCTTTAAAAATCTTCTTCTTCTCAAGGGCCTCTTGTGTTGATTCACAACTTTAAATTCAAGAATGTACAGTTGGTTTTATTATAAAACATGTCACATACAAAAAAACATATTTGTGAAATGTACTCTGTCCTTGATATGTATGTAATTTGCAGGATAGGATGTGGGCAACATATACTGCCAAGAATCTTGATGATTTTGATCTTATGTTTGTAAAAAAAAAATGTTTGGTATTGTAATAAACAAAAATAAAGTCAGCTTTTTGTTAATTAGGGCCCCGCAAGGATTTGCGGGTGCCCTATAGTAATCACTCTGTCTGTCCGTCTGTCCGTCTGTCCCTCTTCCGTCCACAAATTTTCTGTTTTTTTCTAATAACTTTTTTTATGGTTGCCCGATCAAGTTCAAATTTGGTCTGGTAGTTCAGTAGGCAGAAATACATATTTTGATGCCAAGTTTGGTTCTCAGTGTCTTCTGGTTTGGAGCTGGGGTGGTGGGGTAGATTCCTTAACTATGCATAAGAATGAATGGGCAACTTTTTTTATGGTTGCCCAATCAAGTACAAATTTGGTATGGTAGTTCAGTAGGCAGAAATACATATTTTGATGCTAAGTTTGGTTCTCTATGTCCCCTGGTTTGGAGCTGGGTTGATGGGTAGATTCCTTAACTTCAGAATGCATTGGCAAAGAGAGATAACTGCTGAATGTTCCCATTGTAAAATGAATGCTGGCTATGAGTCCATAGGGATTAATTAGCTTTCCTCCAGAAGAAAATCCAGAGCATTATCTTTATCTGTCACATTGAGATGAATTACCACCTCTGTCTGCAAATGAAGTTTGTTTTGAAGTTAAGTCAATTTGGAATGCTATGAACACTGTGAAATGTGGATTTAGATATAAATTTTTATAATTTATTTTTGTTTAATAGTTATAATTTCATTGAATTATAAAAACAAGAAATAGATTAAAGAAGATTTTTTGATTTACTTTTTTCACTTTACGTTAATTAATTTTTAAGGTAGTTTTATAAAAACCCCATTCTATCATTAATACTGAAAAAGTTCTTATTGTAACTTTAGAAGAAAATGATGAGAGAGGTACAATTAATCCTTTGGGATCAATTATCTAGCCTGCTGCAGAAAATTTAGTAGGCTTTTCTTTATCTTTAAGATTAATGAAAACCTTTGTCTGCAACTGCTGTTTATTGAAGTAAAGGTCAAGCCTTCATGATATTTTCATTCATTGAAGGCTGGCATTCTATATAACACAAGCTTCATAATTGTTTAATACATTCAATGTTAAGTTGTTCTTTGCTGCCTAATGTAAATACAGAAGGGTATTATTTTCAGGTTTTTGAATATTCAGGAATTATCTTGAAATTTTATGAATACAGTTGCTGTTGCTTATTCTTCGTACAATTTTTAATCATTCCATAAGCTGCACCCTTTTAATTCTACCCCATGGCGGGGCCCTTGCTGACTGGTCAGTTTTCTAGTTTGTATATTAATTATGATGTTTACATTTCCGCAGCTTATCAATTTGGAAGAAAAAACTTATTTATAATTTGAATAAGGCTTCATTCACTGGAATGGAAAACGGAAATTATTAGCTTTTGTGGTTATTAAAGATGGTATTTAATTAAATTTAAGGTTTGTAATTATCAGATTGTGGTTATTAAAGATGGTATTTAATTAAATTTAAGGTCTGTAATTATCAGATTTAATATATCCTAAATACTGTGTTTAATGGTTGTAAATATTAACTTTACTTTCTTGTAAAGTCAAGATAAAGTGGGACATTACATCATATTTAAGTGCATGTAAAGTTAATGTAAAGGTTACCTTTTCCAACTTTGACTTTTTTCAGAAAAGCCAATTAAAGGCATTGTAAATAATAAATTTACATTATCTTTACTTGTTTTGTAAAGCCAAATTTTCACGCAGTGACAGAGTCTCTCATATATGTTTCTGAATGAATATTATACTAGAGAAAGACTTTAATGGCTAACCTACAACAAAAATTTATGATAAACGTAATTACTTCAATTTTTCAATTATCAAGGTACCTTCCCTCACTTATAAAGCGATGTACCTTCATAACTTGCAAAGTGAATTAAAGTTCCATGTTCTTTGAAAAAGTTCTATGTACGAACAATTTCTGAAACGAGAAATTATAAACGAATAAAGTGATGACACAAGGATATCAACAATCTGAAGTCCACAGTAGACTTCGCAAATTCTATGGTTGATACAACAACCTTGTCAACTGATTACAATATATCGTTACATGTAAGTCGAATGTTTATTAAGTTTTTAGGGCTTAATTTAGATATCTGGGTCCGCCGTCATAAAACTTTGAGAATTCTCAAAAAAATTCTCAACTCAAGTCTTTGAGAATTACTCAGCTAAGAATTTTCTTAAATTGGCCGTCATAAAACGATTTGAGACTATTCAGCCAGTAATTCTCAAGAATTGAGTTGAGAATTTTTAAATATTTTTTTTCTCGCGAGACTGTTTTCGCGGATTTTTTTCGCTGATTGAAGCGGCCCAGAGGAGCTCTTTTTTTTGTCAAAAGGTAAGAAACAACTTTGGTTACATGTAAATAAATAAATAAATTACGTATACGTAAATATTTATTATCGTCTGCTCTGTGTATTGATATCAATGGAAGAAAAGAAAAGGGAAACGATCACAAAACTGGAGTAGTGGGGAAGAGGTGGCCCTAATAGAGGGCGTCAAACAACGTGCGGACACGTTGTTTGGGCCTTTCAAAGGAAGTGGGGCGAGGGGGAAACAGAAGGAATTACGGGAGAGGGAGTGGCAATGCATTGCCGACGCTATGAACTCGTAAGAATGGTTATAAGCTGTCGCAGATTTCTATCAAGCATTAATGCTGTATTGCATATTTATTTTTATACCTTGGGTTTTTTAAAATCTATTTTTGGAACAATATTAAACAAAAACACGTTCTGTCTGAATTCACAGCTGATAAAAAAAATTCATGTAGTTCTGGAAAAAATATTTAATTTTACGAATCAATGGTGAGAACTCATTACATTGGAAGCTTTTTTCCCTTAATTGTGTCCACCCACTATGGGTAGATACAATTAAGGGAAAAAACCTTATGGGCCATAGATGCAGGAAGGGACGCTGAACAGCTTTACAACCAGGGTATTTTTTCAAAATGTACAGATGTGTGTGACAGATTAAAGTATAACGTTAGGCCCTATATAAATGTGAGGGAGAAAACAACATTGGAGCCATAATTGGTGATTTTGACCAAAAATTAAGTATTCATGAAAAAACTTCAAAGTATACTTACTAATTGGCAAAATGATATATGCTCAGAAAAGAAAAGTCTGCCCCCTTGTCTTACACTATACATATATTGTCACTGCATGTTCAGTTTTTTCATCACCCTTTATTTTAATATATTTATACATTTTTCACCTCATGGAGAAATCAGAAATTTTAAATGAAAATAATTTAAACATATGGAAGTAAACCATAAAAGCTTGCATTCATTTTACTTAATTTTTCATTATTTGTGTTTCCATTTACATGCACTTTTTGTGCTTTAATTTGATAGCCTGGATGAATGTCTAGTTTATAAGAAGTTAATTATTAAAAATATGAAAATACTGCATACCACTGCATACATGTAGTACTTCTTTTTTTTCAGACAATTTGATAGCAAGAGAAGGGATACACAAGAGGTGAAGAAAAAGTATTACAACATCAAATCAAAGGTTTGTATGGAGTTCTATGGGAAAATAATTAGTGGTCTTTTCCCTATAGAGACCCCAATTTTTACATTGTAAAGTGAACTGAAAGTCATGAAAGTTAATTTTAGCTAATTATTTGAATATTGAAGACATTTCGAGAGAAAATTTAGCAAATATTTGATTTAAGTTTTATACAGTGCAATAGGGTGCATAGTTAAACTCAGGGCCATTAGAAAAAAGAGGAGGGGCAAGGGAGGATAAGGAGAGATAGAAATTCGTGGAGCACTGTATATTTCGACATGAGCCAAAGGAGGAAGAAGTGAATTTGTTTAAGAAAATGTATCAGATTGCTTTAAAAAATGAACGATTGTATGTATGCGTAGATTTATGTATGTATTTTGCATATTATCATACAGCAGGCTGCAAAACAAACATTTTAAATGTTTCAAACGTTTTCAAAATGTTGAAAAACATTTGAAAAATGTTTTAATCACGTGATTTTGTATGGTTTTTTAAACGTTTTTTAAAACGTTAAGTGAAATATAAAGACGAAATATTATCAGAACATTTTACTGGAAATATTGTGCGAAAACATTTAGAATAATGTTTTAAATAACATAAATTGTGCTGGTTTTTTGAAACATTTTTTAAAACATTTTAGTGAAATTTTCAGCAAATGTTTCTGAACATTTTCTTAAAAAGTTACAAAAACATTTTTGAACAATGTTGTAATAACGTGATTTTGTATGGTTTTTTAAATGTTTTTAAAACATTTTACAAAATATTTCAACAAATTTTATAATTATATTGTTTTAAAATGTAACAAAAAAATTTTCAAAAATATTTTTTTACGTTTAATTTGTTTGGTTTTTAAAACGTTTTCAAAACATTCTCGTCGAGGTTTCAAAAGTATTTTTACTGAAATTTTACTTTTCTCATTAAATATAAATGATATATTTATATTTTAAAAGAAATAAACACAAATCATATTTAATTTTTGAACCTTTAATACAAACCCATATTCAATATGTTAATCACATTTAAATTCCATTCTCGGTACAAGTTTTAATTTATTTTCTTTCAAGTCACCAGGTTTTTAAAGGGTGAAAACGGCGTCTAATCCATTCACTGAATTTTAAAAGAACAGAATCACAGAAATCCTATGTTCACAGTATAGGTCGAACAGGGTGGCGGATCTATAAGACTTAGTTCGAATCACATACACTGAAGAGGCTGATAAGGAATCTGCCCCTCGGAAAGAATATCACAACCTGTAAGGATAAGGAAAAGTGTGTTTGTATCAGCCTTCTACATCTAATGTATCTTAAGATGGTCAATGAAAATGTACAAAAACTACTTTAAATAATTATATCAAAGGATGTATTCGCTTTAACAAAAGAATTGACCTATAGGAGAGAACAATTTCCCGGAAAAAACGACATTTAAAAATCAATCTTTATTTGTTGTTTTCTACCGTATATATGTCTAAATTTTTAATATTTGTATTTAATACCTCAAATTTATTATTTACAACTTAAAAATAAACCTCCAAAGTTGACCGAAACACCATTTTGTTCTTCAAAGCATTGATTTTTGCATGAATTTTTGCCTTGAATTCCTTCAGGGCAGGCCTGCCCTAAATAAAATTGCGATATTTTGATAGGTTAGGATGTACATGTAAGGAATAAATTAAGATAAGATTTTTTTAGGGGCACCCCTGCCCTAGGTCGACATTCACAAAAAACTACAAAAAATAAGGAAACCTGATTTTCATCACCTGCTTTAAATTTATGCCACTTATTCTTGTAGTCAGACTAGCTCAGTTGATATAAGTGCGGACTTTTACACCTTGAATACTTTCTTTTTAAAGTCGGGGGTTCGAATCCACCTGGTACAACACTTTTAAACTTTTAAATTTCGCCTTTTGAAAGACTATTTAGATTTTTTTTATATAGATTTGTGTATTTTCCCTTTAATTATCTATCCTTTATGCATGTCCATTCTTGATATATAAGAAACACTAAAGAGATATCAAATCGTAAAAATCCAATGTACAGTTGTCAGTCAGGCGGAACGAACCTCAGTAT